GGTACTTACTTTGCACTAAGTACTTATCTGGTACCTAGAAATTTCCTGGCACCTGGTACTTACATAGTTCTTGTACCGGTAATTACCTGACACAAGTTATTGATCTGGTACCAGAAATGCACCTGGCACTTGGTACTTATTTTGCAGTGGGTACTCATCTGGTACCAGGATATGACTTGGCACCTAATTACTAGATACTCTGTCTTTACCTGGTAACATTTAACCTGGTATAATAAAACAAATTTTCTGTTGTTGTTGATCAAAGTTTTTGGATTGCTATTAGTCTGACCCCACCCCTGAGGCTAATTTGCCATGGGAGACCCTACAAGGGGCTAACTCCCAGTCAACAGGCCCCAGGATCACAAGGGTACTCAAACCCCTCCACCACGTTAAGGTTGCAATTCTTCGGAGAGGACCATCCATCCATACATCCAACCATACATCCATCCATACATCCATACATACATACATACGTCCATCCATACATCAATACATTCACACATACATACATCCATCTATCTTTCTTTTTCTGCTTCTTCTTTTTTGGGTTGTGGGGGTCACTAGTGCCCAAATCCAGCAGGCACTGCGCAAGAGGCTGCACACTTAGAGACAATTTAGGTTATCATACCTGTTTTTTGTTTGTGGGAGGAAACCGGAGTAGCCGGAGTAAACCCATGTGTGCACAGAGAGTACTTGTAAAGCCCACTCAGAAATTCTCACTTCTACAAACAGAGACATCGTGCCACCCTTGCAGATGTACTTTTGTGAAAAACGAAGATACAACTTGCACACTGAGAGAGAAGCAGAACAGAAGCAGGATGGGAAAATGTCAGTTTAGAATCACCAGTAAGTCTAATGTTTTTTTGGAGAATGAAAAACCGGAGCATCCCGGAGTAAACCCATGTGTGTACCACCAGTTAGCTTAACAGTTTTTTGGAGTGGGAAAAACCGGAGCATCCCGGAGTAAACCCTGACTCGCACCACCAGTTTTTGGCAGTGGACTAACTGAACCTTCCCAGAGTAAAGCCATGCATTGGGAATAAACTAAAAGAATAGTTTATTACTAAGCACAGAGAAAGTAAAAGGATGGGGATGGTAGGATGGTGTGGCAGCTGTGCTTGGACGTAACTTCCTATGACAGGAGGTGAACACGTTGAAAACTCTTGTGCAGAATTTTCTAAAATTTCTGAAGACTTTGTTCCAAGAATGTGGAACAGCTATGTTTGTGATGTTTTCTGCTAAGTCTTCCTGCTGTTGCTCAGATGTAACAGAGAGGTCATGTGAAATTTTAATGGAAGATGTCTCCATAACAGGACCAGAATGCAAGGTGTTTATGTTGTTACAGCTCACAGATAACTCTTCTGCTCTTCTGGGTTGGCACTTTGACATTATTTCTAATGCCTGTTCCACATAAGAGTCGTCGCTGGTGATTGAAAGATGCTCCATTGTGATAAAATTGTGGGTTATTGCATCTGCAGGGAGAATTCGGTCTGCAGGATTCACAGCTAGCATCTTTTTGAGCAGGTCTATGAATTCTTTTATGTCCTGTAATTCAAGAGGATCGTTACAGGGTGTTATTTCTATCAAGTCATCCAAAGATCGCAAATTGAGACAATAGTCAGTTTCTTGAATTTTCTGCCCAGAGTCCTCTTCATATTGTGTCACGGTTTTAAGTTGCCAGACACTTTCAGAGCCAGATTGCTCTTGTGTAAAGTACTGTCTGACTCGGCACCCACTGTCAAGGACATAGTTATCGGGCTGACCAAGGAGCTCTACAATCGTTTTCATGACTGTGTATTCTGAATTGCCCGGAAACAAATACTGACCAGAATAAAGTTCAACCAAAACACATGCAAGACTCCACATGTCAACTCCCTCATTTGGCTGAAATCCCAGAAAGACTTCTGGGGCCCTGTTCGCTACAACCTGAAATAAATCGTACTTTGATAATTCATATGTTGGAATACAAAGTCCAAAGTCGATCAACTTAACTCTAAAGGGTGTAGAGTTCTGATTAACTGTCATCAGGTTGTCAGTTTTAATGTCAGTATGGGTCAATCCTAAGTGTTTCAATGTGCTGAGAGAAACAAACATTTGTTGGGCGATTGCTCTAACTTCAGACAACTTGAGAGGTGACCACTTCCTTTGATTCATGAAATCAAACAGACTTTCGTCAAGAAGCTCAAAAGTGAGGCAAAAGCAGTTCTGACACATAAACCAGTCAAAGAAGTTCATAATGTTGATTTTATCAGCATTAAATTTTCGGAGTTTTAACATTGCTGCAATCTCCATTTTAGCTGAACTGCTGTCTTCTGCTGAAATAACTTTTAGAGCAACGGTCTGGCCTGTGCCCTCTTTAGTGCATTTAAACCATATGCTCCTTGTCCAAGGATTTTTTCTACACAGTAAACGTTTGAGTTGCCACAAATGGTTACACCTTCTGCTATTTCTTTTATCAGATTTCTTTGATCGGTGTTTGATTCAGAAGAATTACTGACGTCAGCAGAGTTTGACTGATGGCTCCAATTTGAATGAACTGAAGAAATTTGACACCTTTCTGAAGTTCTGGATTTGCTGTCAGACATTTCACCATCTTCTTCGTCAATGAAACCATGATTTGAATAAGCGTGGTGGTTCATTGTCATAAATTGGTGGTTTAATTCGTCTTTAGTGCACATACGGTCCGCTGGATTAACCTGCAGCATCTTCTGGAGGAAGTCTTTAAACGCTTCGATTTCATGAGAATCTTCCACGTCGTCTGATGACATTTCTAAAAGGCTGTCGAGAGACTCTATTTCATCCAAATCGGTGGCACTCTCTGGAACGATTCTTCCGGTCGCTTTTGCGTATTCAGCGAGAGTCTTCAATTTCCATATGCTTTTCCAAATGTCTTGCTCTTTGTGCTTGTAACATGTAAAATAACGTCCGACACCACATCCTGCTTCCAAAACGTGATTGTCTGACATGCCGTTTAACTTTACAATAGCTTTTATGTAGCTATACACACAAGCTGTAGGGTAAAATGGTTTACCAGCAAAGACTGAAGCCAGCGTGCAAGCTATGCTCCATACATGAAAATTTTCACCCAGAGGAACGTCAAAGAAAACTTCCGGCGGAGCGAAACCGCAGGTCTGAGGGAGGTCTTTCTCTGACAGTCGGGATGTCTTGTAAGCAGCCTCAAATTGAAACAATTTTGCATTGGAATGTTGCAGGTTTCCATCAGTCAACATAACACTTTGAGGGGTTATGTCTCCGTGGGTAAAACCAGACAATTCCAAAGCTTTGGCAGCTGTTAACATCTGCTGGGCGATTTGTCTGATCTCAGAGAGTTTAATGGAAGTCAAAGCACTTTTCTGCATGAAATCCCACAAACTAACATCCAGCTTTTCAAAAACTAGACAAATCCAGTTTCTGTAGTTGAAGGATTCAATATACTTGGCAAAAGTGTCTGTTTCCACACTTCTGAGAATGTTTAAGAAGCTGATTTCATTTTCAGCTGTTTGATGGTATTTCTTTCTGAAGAATTTCACAGTAAAGACTTCATCGGTTCCTGCCTTGCCACACAGGGCAATTTCTCCATAACTCGTGTATCGTATAATTTCCTTTACGATGTAAACACCTGAATCCACCTGTATCTGGAGAGACGCTCGAACTGGGGTGACTTCCTTCAAGTTACTGGCCATTTTCTCACTCTGAACTTCAGTCAGATCCATTTGAGAACGCAGGAAGTCTTTTTTTGCAGGTGACATTTTGAAGGGTTCAAGGAAATCAGTCACGAATCTATTTGCAATGGCAGACATCAATGAACGGAGAGAAAATATTTCAATCGGTTTTGAAATGCCAACACAAATTTTGGGGGTCGCAGAGAAACACGAAACGGTTCTTTTCAGAACAACTGTAAACTACAGAATGAGAATGTCACAGAGACCTAGATATATTTATAAACTCGGTAACATCAAAGACTGATGGCGTTAGACGTGATTTGCATTTGCCTTTGTGACGTAAAACAATTACTTTAGTGACGTTGTTCGCCTACGCACATAGACGCAAGCAGACTTATTGAATTGCGCATGCGCAAAGCGGTAGGCACTTATGCAAATTACGCAGTGACATCACTCAGCAACAACCAATAGACGCTGTCCTTACTGAGGCGTCGGCATCAAAGAGGAAGCGCGCGGTAGGCACATTGAATTTGTAAATTGTGATTTGGTAAGTCGCAATAAGTAGCAATTTTTATCCGACTAACTCCAACGGATGCTTTTAAAAAGTTACTTTCAACATCAAAGTGTTGTGTGAATGAGGGATTCGAAGTATGAAATGACTCTCCCTCGCTGTTACCGTCTTTACGTGGCTGCATTCTGGTTTATGAGAGCCTAATCTCAACCTGAAACCATGGCAACAAGATTGAACCTGTTTTCTGGAGTGTTTTAAAGCTGAGGCTGAATGTCTGACGTGTTTCTCTGCGCTTGGAGTCGACTTCCAGGTCGTTTTTCTCTTGTTTCCTCACTAAACACTCCATGACTCGCGTCATTAGCCTACAGCTGTCCAGACAGAGTCTCCCAGGAAATCATTGACAACAATGAGTCTTGCCCAGAATATGTGGAAGGAGCTCCTCTCACTGACATAAAAGTACCATATAGGCTTGATGTGGACCGGAAATTAAACTTTACTTCATTGTTGTACTGCAGTAAAGAGTGGGAGGTGTAGTGAGCTAGCTGTTAGCTTCACTACTAATTAATTATTCTTAAAGCTAGTTCAAGCGCAAAGAATATTAATTGTTTAATTAACAATGGATTGTTTCTTTTTCGAGTTAAATTTCTGCCATGTGACCCAGATAACTTGAGAGTGGAGGGTATAAGTAGTGACATGAGACGCCATTTTATCTTTGACCCATCAGAATAAATGCGGTCATTTATTTAACAGAATCAAAATTTAACATCAAACATGTACACTTGATTTGCTGATCTGTTTTTGATTAATAAACTTAGCAAGATTTACCAAACAAGACAACAGAAGATTACTGATGGAGAATGATTCATCTCTGAAGGCACCTAGCTTGATTTACTGGCGAATAGAAGTTTAAAGAGAAGGAGTAAAGAGGTTTAAAGATTTAAAGAGGAGGTTTAGATGGATGAAGGAACATGTGTTGACCAGAAATGGCACCCTTCCTCCGACCCCAGCTCAGCCCTCCGGTGCACTCAGCGTGTGACGACTTGTTACCTTGGCAGAGGATACATCAGCTCCGGAACAGAGGTCCATTGGCATGCTACCTTTCGGCATCTCCGGTCAGGGTGGCTGAGAATCTTCCGAAGTAGTTCCATATACTCCGTTCAACAGAATAAGCTTCCTTAGAAGTTGAGAGCATTTAATGCTTGGTTTGAGTTCACTGCGAGGCATGCTGTGACTACGCTGGAATGGACGGACCCTTGGCACACGGTCAAATCCATCAGCTACTTAGTTCAGCTGTAAGACTCCAGGAAGACTGCAGTCCCAGCCAGAGCCCTGTAAAGAGAGAGTTGCGACACTCCCATAGACTCCCATAGAAAGAATGGAATGCGGAAGTCACGTGGGTCATGAAGCGGCAAAGAGTTCCAAACAGCAGCGGGTTCACCATTGAACATTCTCCGTGTTTTCCCGGTAAGTTGATGCAAATACGACACTTTTTTGCCATTGTGAAGCGTTATCTGACTGTTCTGTATCTCAATTTATCAACATTAATACTTCATGTTGCCAGTTTTAGTTAATGAAACATGTTAAATTGCTAGTTGTTTTAACTGCAGCTGCTCTGCAACATGACGGTTTAAACGGGTCTATTTCTAATTCAACGTTTTAAAATATCTATTACTGCTTAAATTTTGAAAGGTGGTCTTTTTTAAATTTATGGTAATTCCAGTTACTGAACTCAACTAGAAAATATTTGGTCTTTTTTCCTGAGAGATTCATTCAACCTTTATTTCTACAGGTAAATCCCATTGAGCCTCGAGGACTCATTTACAAGAGAGACCTGATTTAACAAAGAATGATGACAACATGACAACAAGACTGATGTAATTTAGTTCAAGTTATAGATCATTTGTCAAAGACTGCAGCATAAATTGTGACATTATCATTAAAGAAAAACGTGATTGTGGAGATGAGTCAATGTTTTCATGTTTTCCAGGTAAACCAGAGGAGAATGACTTCATGAACTGAATGTTGCATTCAAAGTATCACAAAGGTACAAGATCTCATTTTCTGTCTTCTATTAATCAATAACAGCTTAATCAAGATGTTTGACTAAAATTACTTTAACACCATAACCTTCACAAAGTTGGTATTTACTGCAGGACTGTTCATTTACATTAGTTTTATATTAGTTTAGTGTTTGGTAATCATGGGTCAAGTTGAGATGAGACTCTCTTTCAAGACAGAACAAGAAATAAGAATTATTACAAGAATATATCATCATCAATAAACTGTAGGACAGTAACAAAACACTTATTAAACTATCACAGGTACATTGAGATGGAGCTGGAAGTTATTCTTCATGCCAGTTGTCTTCATCTGATCTTTTGTAAAAATATGTAAATTTATTTTCCATTAACATTTTTCTTCACAGGACTGAGTTAATTTTCTTGTCGGTGAGTTTCTTCTGTCCTGCTCATGTATGTTTTTGTGTTCTAATTCTTCCCTCAGGTTTTTCTTCTCTGTTCCCTGACTGCCTGTTGATCCATCCTCCTGGTCCTGTTGCTCCATCCTCCTGGTCCT